ATTGTTGATTACCGAGTTCTTTTTTTTTTTTTCCCTAAATGAAAAAGCCTACTCTAGTCTGTATGAAAGAGTTTTATGGTTATTTTTTGTCAAACAGAGCACTTTTTGAATGTCGCATTGACAATACGGGCTTGGTCTTTGATATTAATGCTTCTGCAGCAAAGGCCACAAATACACTGGGAAAGTGCATTAGTGATGATAGGTGGGGAAAACATTAGAAATAGTAATTTCCCAAAAAGCAACAGAAAGTGGCATAAAAAACATGAAGATGAATGTGTGTCACGCGACTCAAAACTTACCTTTGGTGCACTGATCCTTTCAGTCTGGTTTTGTTACCAGACTCAGTGTCTGAGCTCAGCCAAAAGGCTCAAATACACTGGGAAAGTGCATTAGTGATGATAGGTGGGGAAAACATTAGAAATAGTAATTTCCCAAAAAGCAACAGAAAGTGGCATAAAAAACATGAAGATGAATGTGTGTCACGCGACTCAAAACTTACCTTTGGTGCACTGATCCTTTCAGTCTGGTTTTGTTACCAGACTCAGTGTCTGAGCTCAGCCAAAAGGCTTTTTTTTTTTCTTTCCCCCTCGCACAAAACTCCTAAGCAATGTTTTCAACAAAATGGGAAATCTAAAGTCTGAGAGAACAGCCCAGGTCTAATCCTGGTGTCAGGGGCCGTGTCTTGACTTATCAAGAATTCCTAAGTAAGATTCAGCAGAGAGTTAGTACATTAATTTTAGCCCCGTCTTTTGAGACAGTGAAGGTTGTATCATTGTATTATCTATTTCTTTTAATAACTCTTAAACCTGTCACTTCTTTCAGTCAAATCTGATAAAAGTACAGAAGTTCAAGTACTAGTCATTGTCTTGAATTCTCATGCAAATGGGTGGAGGGGAGAGACAGAGGTTGGCACCCCTCCTCTCCCGGAGGGCAGGGCAGGTAAAACTCATCCCTTTGCAAACGCAGGGGACAGCGAGCAGCCCTGGGCAGCGCTGTGCAGCATTTTGCCATGTGGGTATCATGGGATTTGTGGCAGCTGCTGGCGGGTGACAGGACACCAAGGCCCAGGAACCAGGCTGTATTAGCTCCGTTACTCATAAAACACACCGTTAATATTTCCTTACTGAACTTTGAAGTTTTATAACTTCTCTCTCTAACTGGGGGAATGAAAAAAACCCACTTTGTAAGCCATCCCGCTGGCAGATGAAACAGCGGTGCCACTTCAGGCAGCCATACGGAGCCTCTGGTCCCAGCGCCCCCCATGTGCCAGGGTCTTGCCCTTGGCTTCAGTGGCGCCTGGTCTCACCCGGGGGGAGAGTCTAAACGGGCGTCTTTGCATCGCCGATCGAGCAGGCCACCAGCAACCGGCTGAGAGCGACTCTGATGGAAAGGCAGCAGGACTTGTGACATCTGGTGTGGGATGGGCTCAGAGGATCTCGGTGCTCCCGTGTCACTGGTATCTCCAGGCAGCTCCTAGGCTGCTCCAGTGCGCTGCAGCATCAGGGCAGCGCGGATCGGATCGCAGGCGTAGGGAACCGGAGCCAACTTTTCCTGTCCAACTTTTAAGATTATTATCTGGGTGATTACTAAAGTCTAAGGCACAATGAATAAATACATTCACGATTCCCAACTGTAGGTTCGTGCAAAGTGCCTGGATGAAAGAAATGCTTCTTTTATAACAGAACCAGGCATAGCAAAGCTGTCAGTTTAGATACGAATCTTCAGCCAAAGTTAGAGTCTTTTTATAATAAAGCTTTATGATCTTCAATATTTCAGAGTCCCTGGACAAATGGGAGCGGCTGACAGTGGCTGATGCACTGGAACCTGTCCAGTTTGAAGACGGAGAAAAAATTGTTGTGCAGGGAGAGCCCGGTGATGACTTCTTCATTATTACGGAGGTAAGATTAGCATCCTGATAAGTAAGCTCTGTCATTTCCTGGTAAAGATCAAAACTTTGTGTTAAAGACATTTGGGTTCAGTTTAATCTCTTACTTCAGCATAAATATGAACTAACTCCATTCAAACCAGGCGAATTGCTCAAAATTCAAATGAATTCAGACACCAGTTCCATGGAAATGTCTGAAGTGGGATGATCCTTGATTTCCAGGAAATTGAAGACACAGAGGAATTTTGAGGTGTGTCTAGAGTCCTCATTGTTTGAAGGTTTGTTTTCTCCATGAGATTTTTCTTGTTTAAATTGCCAATACTTTAACCAGGCTGGCCAGCCACACAGTGCATTGATCATTGTTCCCAAAGGGACTTACAGTGGAAATCGTAAGCGAACATCTGTGAACTGGAGCAAGAGACCTGATCTGAAACTGGATAATTTGTTCTTTGTTTTGCCTTAAACTCAGTCCAAATGGCTGAGCCACTTTCTTGTTTACTCTCACACAGGCAGACAGATCTGTCAGGCAGCTGAAAATGCTGACAACTTCTTGGGAGATGATCTGACACTTCAGTTCCACCATCTCACTTCTGCAAACAGATGCTGATGGGGTTTTTCCTTCCTCTCTGACATAAATATTTGGGTCCTTGGTATCTCACACAAATACCTAGGAACTGTGATATAACAAGTTATAAAAAGATATTACAGAGACTCAGACTAAGACAACAGCATTAGGAAATGATTGTATGCGTGTTGAAGTAGGAGCTTTAAAGTACCAGCTGTGAGTGTTTATACACAAATGTTTAGCCTGGGAATGACCAACATATGACTGTGTGGTGACAGTTGAAATGCACATGCCATGCCCCGTGTTACATGACCAGCATCGAGGCAGTGGTGGCACAGGAGGCAATCCAAATCCCTCACTGTGGGAGAAGGTGGGTCAGGGGGATGTAAGGAAGCTGGTATCATTGTGTTGCCTTGGGATTCAGTTGTGCATACACGAGTACGTCTCTGGCTCCATCAGGCTGCTGTGCTATGCTGTGATTTAGGAAGAGACCCTGCCCTGCTTGGGTGATAGGAGGGTTGTACAACACCCGTTGCAAATGGCTTGGAGACCAACAGGTTTTCTTTTCCTTGCTCCTTCTCTGTGAAGGTTTGGATAGGTGCCTTTATCCAAGTCAGACAGAATTTCGTTCATAATCCATATCTGACACTTAAAATTCCATTATTTTTTTCCTCTTGAATGTTGGATGCTGGTGATGAAATACATACTTGATTTATTAACATAGTTTCTCTTCTGATGCTCACAGAATTGTGAGTGCAAATAACTGCACCTGTGTATCACACAGTTGGACGCTTAAGGAACTTTAAGTATGTCATAAGCAATGCCGCTTCAAAAAACCAGTCTCAAAATAGAAGGGGCTAATGCTAAACAGGGATTTTTTTTTTCATTAACAAGTTACTCTACTATGTAAGAAAAAACTCATTTCTACTAGTGTTACTAAGTGTCCTCTTACTCCTCGCAGCAGCACGAGACTAGGAAAACCTGATTTTCTTAGCCATACGAATCCCATGTGGAAAATTGGCAGCTTGCTTAAGAATTACCAAGGGCCTTTATTTTTCCCCTCTTGATGGAACAGCTGTTAAGACTTGAATGGGTAGAAAAGTATTAACACTGCATACTGCATAATCATAAAATATCTGCTCACCTCACCCTTCCACTATAAATCTAACATAGTTTCGCACTTTGGAATTTGCCTGTATTTCTCTGCATTAACAAGTGAACATCCAGTATCAACTGTTTCTTGCGCGGCAGTAGTATTTGTGCCCGCTCCCACATAGCTTAAGCATTGTATTTTAAACTTGATTTCATAGTAGTTTACATTTCTGATGTTAAACTTTTCTGCAGGAGAGCTGATGCAAGCTGCCAGGAACACATTATTCTACAAACTGGTTGAAAGTGGTTTTGGCTAGTTTGTTGTCACAGTATGTTGAAAAGGCATTACCTTCTTTCATATGTTTGTGGCCTTATAATCCAAAACACTCAAAATGCAGCCAGTTTGTTTGGCTGTGATACATACAGAAAGCATTTCGTACATCACCAGAATGCAGCCTCCTTTGGAGTGCTCTGTGTCCAGGAGTACACTAAGCTTTGCCATGCAATTTTGGGGCAAGGTACTCATTTATTAGAAATCACAGTCATTCATGGGATGCCTTACCAGTTTACAATGCTTTGGTGCAGCAGCATCACAAACACTGGTTCCAAGTGGGATCCTGTGACTCTCATCATAAGAGCTTTTCTAAGACACCCAGGACTCACACGTGGATTTTAAATAGTTAGCAGAGTTTTGTATGAACTTCATAAATTAATTGTTCATTTCTGGCTAGCCTGCTGTACTGCCTTTCTCTGTGACACACCTTTGGCATACCATCTTTTAAGTATATTGGTCCTGCAGGAAAACATAGCCTGTAAGTGAATTGGCACCTTCAGGATTTGCAGACTGAAGTGCAACCATTAAATCCATTTGAAAGGGAGACTTTCAGCCTTGGTGATGATCAGAATAGCAATTCCTGCTTTAAACTGTCATCCTGGTTAGTATGGACAAGAATATTTAGTCTCCCCCTTCTGTCAAGCAAGCACATTCACTTTTTCTCCTTTTTTCTTGGTAGAAACTTTTCTTCAAGGCTTTCTGTCCACCTCCTTATCTCCAGTGTTTCACAGAACATAGTAGGGTGCAGGTTAGTTGAGGTGCAGGCTGTATGCATGAAAATGCTGCAGTGCCCCATGGAGAGCAACTGCAGCAGGAGGAGCTCAGCCAAATTATTAGAATAACAGAAAACATGCACAGTGGAGCGTCACAGGAAACCAGGGTTTTTTAAGTTCAGTGCTCACAAAGCTGTTTATAGTTCATTTTTTGCTAAAAAGTCAAATGAGAGAAGTATTACTCTGAGATTCCAGGACAGCTACAGTTTTTCTGCCATCCTAAATCTTCACAGACACCAGGAAGATGGTTACTTGGAGTAGGTGGGATGCTTTTCCATTTAAGCAGCCTTCAGCAAGATTTAGTTTTAATATTTAAAGGCTGTGATCTTTTCCAGAGATAGAATTATTTTAATGTTTATACCATATTCTTTAATTTGAAGATAGGATCAGAAGTAAATGTCTGCTTACAAAAGCAAAGTAACTGCTTCTGTGAGATTGATTTACTACACTTGAAACTGGCAATTAAAGAAAGAAAAAAAGAAGCAGCCCTGCAGTTTCTGTATTTTCAGATATTTCCAGGTCTTACTCTCCCACTCCGGTTTTCACACAACAAACTTGGGCTTTCCCAGACCAGACAGATGTGGAATGTGTCTGCTGGATTCCAAGGTCATGGAATTATCCCATACGAGATTCCTGGCACAGAGGTGAAAAACTTTAAGCACCATGAAACAATTGTTGCCATAAAGAATTATATTTTGGCAAGTGTAAATCATAACAGATGTACAGCTTCTAACAAATAAATTTGCAGTTGTATTGTACACTGCCACTCTGTGTACCCAGCAGTGGGGAGGATTTATTCATCTGACTGCAGATAAGGCAAATATTTTTAGCTAGCATTTTAAAGTGGTAGCTTGCACAGGCATGTGAGCTCTGCAGAGTTAAAAATCCCAGCAAACATCAAGTCCCTTTAAATGAAATGCCAGTTGAACGGGAGCTGATTGTATTCCCAACTCGTGCTTTGCTACTGACTTCAGCTCAAACAGTAGTTCAAACTGGTGTAGTAGCGCTCTGAAACTGGAAAGAAATGAGGTTTTTGCTGTTGTCTAGGTTACTGAGAAAGGTAGTGACAATAGTATTAAAAATAGCGGTTATGATCACGTACCATTCTCCTAAGTTCAGCTTCAAACGTAGCTGGGTGGCACAGCACCTTGAAGTCCATAATGCAGCTGCCAAAAATGTGTGGGCCAGCAGCCGTGAAGTGCCCTGCTGGGTTTTCCAGCTCCCACCCCTCCCCGTGTCAGCTCATTTGGATCTACTTGTCATGACGGAGTGCCGTATACGGCACATGGATATTGTCACGGGACTCCACCGACTGTGCTCAGGGAGTCTTTTAATCTCAGCTGCATACTGCGAGCTTGCTGAACTGCTGCCATATGGCCCTAATACTCCATAAAGTTTGACATGGCTTAAGAAAAATGCCTGCACAGACACAAACGTACGCAGGTGTAGGAGGGGAGGGCAGCGAAAGGTTTATAATAGTGCCACACTGTGCCCGAAGAGCACAGCTTGTAACTGTCCTTTACATGAGCTCTCCGTAGCCTGTCATCTCCTCGGAGGACAGTTTGGTTTAAGTGGTGCAGAAAGCAAAGAAATAAAACTGCATGAGAAGCAGAAACATTTCCAATTAATAGTTGGTCGAGTTGCCCAGCAATAGCAAGCAGCAACCTAAAAATAAAAGACCTAAAAATAGAAGATAATTCATGGGAGAAAATTCAAGGAGAAATGGACCCATTGTATCAAGTAGTTTCACACTGGATTTTTGGTTTTAATTTTAAAAGCTAGTGTATTTAACTGTGGACTAGTGCTAAGTTACAGGGGGTAGTTGCACCATCCTCTGCAACTCCTATGTGAAAAGCACTTCAAAAAAGCTGGGGATTTGTGTTCTTTGCCATTATCCTGTTGGTTAGAGGGGAGGAAGAGTGAGGGCATCTGATTTTCAGTCTCACCTGTATTATCAGTCCAGTCTGTGGGCAGACAATTACCCTCCCTGTTTCCCCATCAGTGGGAATAATCCTAATGATGCTTCATAAAGATGAGCAAAAGCTTAAGGGGAGAAGGCATAAAGTATCTATCAGTACCGAAACCAGGCAATGGGAATAGCAAAAACGGCAAATAAGAGAAGCATTTTCATGGACAGTACAGAAATCCTTCCAGAATTAATGCACAGAGCTGCCCAATTGACAAAAATAAATGAATTTAATCGGTAACAATCATTTGTCCAGCACTATTCTTGGCTGATTACATTGAAA